ACTAGGGTTCGCAGGAAAGCAATCAGCACACTGTCCATGCATAGGAGCACTGACATTCTTGTTTTAGAGCCAAAACTTCTATTGTTTTCGATCTGATGGCGGCTTTCGACTCAGTCGACCGCTCTAAACTCCGGCACTGCTTTTCCCGAGAAATTTATCTCAATACTGCAATCCCTCTACAATAGTAGCCGAAGGCGAGTCCGAGTTGTCGGCATTTTCTCACCCGTTCACCACAGAAAAAGTGATGTTCGACAGGGTTGATCTCTCTCTCTCTCCGTTTCTATTCAACATTGTCACACTTAATTCTTGAAAAAGACCTATCCTCGTGCGAGGATGGCGACACCGATTTACTCCCAGGTGGCAGACTGTTTGATTCAGAGTATGCAGACGATATTGTGCTACTGAGTGACGTTGCAAGCTTTTCTGGATAGTTTGAGTGTCACTTTAGCCATGCTCGGTATGCGTTTTGCACCTTTAAAGTGTAAAATGTTGCTACAAGATTGGGTTGGTCCAGCCCTCAACCTCACCCTGACTGGGGAAGTGGTAGAGGAGGCAGACGAATTTTGCTATCCGGGCACCTATATCTCACCTGGCGGACACATCACCGATGTGTCGACTCGGTTGGCATCTGCCAACTTGAGGACATCTGTGGCGCTGTCACGACATCCGGCTGTCTGTGAAGGGTCGAGTATATGCTGCAGCAGTTCGGCCACTGTTGCTTTACGGTGCAGCGAATTGGTCACTAAAGGAACAGGATAAAAATAGATTGTTGGTGTTCGAACACCGCTGTCTACCTAGCATTGCACGAGTCTGGTGGAGTAACCGGACGAGCAATGCTGAGGTTAGGCGTAGAGTTTTAGGTAGTCGCGGTCGTCCACTGGATTAAGTGATCGATCGCCATAGATTACGTTGGTGGGGGCATGTTTTACGCATGTCACCAGATAGGTTGGCACAGTGAGCGATATTTGCCGAGGCACGTAGCGGATGGAAAAAAGTCAAGGATGTTCAAAGTAACACCTGGCACGAGGATATGAAAACCCTAACTAGGAGACTGGGTCACATAGGTCACATTAGGCCCCTAGCTGGGGACCTCGTGATCATGGTCACCGATGGAGACACTGGATGATAGGGCTGGGTGACGCAAACAGTGGTGCTCATGCATTTGTTGTTCTTCTAACACCAATCTATATGAATTTATCTTCCGTGTGAATTTGCTCTCAACGTTCCAATCTTCATTCTGATCTTTTATCTACACGGGGAGGGGGGCTCAAAACACAGGAACCAAAAGTGCATGGCTGATGGTTGTCGGAACTGAACTAAACAGGCATAGGGGGGGGGGAGAGACCATGGCACAATCACTCAAATTCTCAAAACGAGAACGAATATAACTAGTCATCATCATCATCGTACAGTGAAATACCGTGAAGCGAACTTCACTGACCGCTGCCAAACTCACAATGCATACAAGGTTAGTGGTAAAACTTAAGGTGGACGGGGGTTGGATCTATTTTGAGGAAGGAAGAAGATGAGCCACTATGGTCAACACACAGAGTACACAATCGAACTCTGCATACATACCGTTTCAAGCATTCTGACCAGATAAGAAACGACAACAAGAACGCCATATAAGTAGTAGTCAGCCGTGAAGGTCAAAAAGGCTGTTCATGTGGCTGTCCTCTTTGAGTATCCAATTGGTCATCTGTGGACGGACAGGAATGGAGAAATCCTAAACGGTCTCGTGTTTTTTATGTATTAGGACTACATGTATGAATATTCAAATCCGATAATAATCACAGGGGTTAATTCTTTTGACTGGTTTTTAACCAGTCTTACGCGACTTTCCTGATGAGATAAAGACAATAAAGCCACAACTTTTGATATATGGTAAGGTAATACTGAAATAAACTTCTCCGATACACCGTTCAGAGCGAGTCAGTGCCGGAGTATAAAGTGGTCCATTGAGTCAAAAGCCGCTTTCAGATCAACGAAAACAGAGATGGTAGGTCTATGAAAGGAGCATGTGTGCTCTGAAATTTGGGGGAGTGAAAATATGGTCGATACAACCTCGGTCAGGTATAAAACCAGCCTGGTTTTCTCGCGTGCACTCTTCGCGTACGGCAGACACTCGGCAGAATATAAAACTGCTAGAAGCTTATCGACAATGTTGATCAAGCAGATTCCTCTGTCGTTTGCACAAGAGCTATTGCTGATAAAGACATTTCGTCTGATTCGTTAATGATCTTGAACTTGGACTCTATAAACTATAGGATTCTCATGGCGGTCGCTAAGATGGATGTAAAAATGTTACTCTATACTTGAGTTGTAAAGATGAACCTGCCCATCCCCTGCCAATAGGCGCACCTACCGGAAAGAACCAGACGGATGGGTAACCGGATTCCGACAGACACGACCGGAATGAGTTCGTGCTTACGTGTATGAACGGATGAGAGCAGTCGAAACTGGCTCCTACGGCTTAGGCTTGTCAGTTACAGAATCGTGTGCACATCGCTTTCGATCACCATTATCATCAGTGAGTGAGTGATCCCTCGTCCTCCATTGCCAGACATACGGTATAACAAATTGCGTAAACTTTCGTTTGTATTTTCTCTAAGGAATGTCGCAATCGCAGCTGGTGATACTACGGTTCACGTCAGTTAGCTGCTACCTCAGACGGAGTATTCAAGAGGCCTTTGTAGACCACTCCGATCGTCTGAATGATGAAGGCGTGCGTACTTCCATACACGCGCTCAGATATTGTACTGCAGTATGCATTTGACATCCGTCTGAATCAGACAAAAATCTTTAAAAATTAAAAGGTTCCATGATTGTTTGGGAGCGGAATACTGCCAGGTTGGTAAGGTCAAGGCAGGTGAATTTTCTTGAGGAATCCACAACCGGAGCCTACGGCTAACCAACGCCTGACCCGCATAGCAGCGAGGTAGTGTGCGAAAACCGCAATTCATTTGGGGCTGACGTTCAGTTCATTAGATCATACGCTTTTTAGATGGGGTCAAATGTCCAAGGTTCTCAATACGCCTCGATACCCAATCGAGCCGGTGACCACTGCCGCAACCAGGAAGTTGTGTGTGATTCGTACGCTTCCTCTTGGTTGGTTTGAAATCACGGTTTTTAACGAACTCCCCTAGGTGATCTAACAGTGGTCCACCAACCCGGTTATAG